CTCTCTCTCTCTCTCTCTCTCTCTCTCTCTCTCTCTCTCTCTCTCTCACACACACACACACACACACACATACACACACACAGGGTCTCTCTATCCTAGAGCCTCCTGAGGCTCGTACTAGAGACTCAGTGCTGTCTTTACAAGGCCAAGCAAGCAGGTCACCACCACTCTCCAGATCTCCATTTTCTCATCTGTAAAATGGGCAAAATGCATCCTCCACATCTCACCAGGTTTGGTAGCTATTCTTTTCCAGTGACTTGGCAATTTTTGAATAGAGACTGGTTAAAACAATCCTCAGGCACCTTTCCTAGTCTAAAATATCCACCTAAGCCTTTCTCATGTTCTGAGTATGTTAGCAACAATGTGTGGAGAAGTTTCCCCAGCATGGGGAGAGGGGCTTCTATTGATATGAAAATGGTCTTTTTCTCTCTGTGTATTTGCTCTGCCATTGTAAGCTAACTCGTTCCCCTCTCTGACATTTATTTATAAACTCATAGAAGAACACAGGCTATTCATGATCAATGCCACGCAATCATACAGTACGAACCTCCCTCAAAACCAGCAGTAGCAGGAACACTGAAGAAAGGAAGTAGGAAATTCAGGACTGGAAGGTATGTGCTTCCAAATGGCTGGATGTCAAGCTAGCAAGAGCCCTTAAAGGCTCATCAAACCAACACTCAGATTTAGAGTGACCTTTCAGATGCCCTTGGAAATGGCTGTCCAGCCTTTGTCTTAATGCTCCCCATATCAGGGGACTCACTAACTAGCAAAGAGTTAGCTGGATGGCTTTTCTAATTGACCTGGAATTCAGAGTTCAAGGAAACTGCCCCACTAGTCCTAACCCAACCCATCAGAGACAAAAGGACAGGTTAGTGTAGTGTCTATTTCTCAAGACACCCCACAGCATAGAGGTCTTTTCTTCTCCATTCCAAAAGACCTTTCTAAGTATTATTAATATTTTCATGCAAGGAAGGCGTCTATCTCAAAGACATATCTCGAATGCATGTCCCCTTATAAGTGACCCTCTTACAGTGGATTCATAGAGAGGGAGGTGAGTTGGTCATCAGCCAAGGCAGGTACACGTCAGGTCATCCCGAAGCTGCAGATGACCAGAGAGTCCATGCACGCCTGACGTGGCCATCACTTCTCTGCCAGCCACTGAAGATCTTGCAAGGATTCAGGGAAACAAGGATCCTGAGGGTTCAATGTGTGCGTGAATGAGTACTGAAAACAGCTGCGGGGGGGGGGGGGGGCGTTGTTGCTGTCTCTGTGAGTGGCTGGGGCGCCACTCACTACCATTTGGCAGGTGCAAGAACATACTGACACTCTGAACAAACCCAGAAAAACCAGGTACAAATTCATTCCCACTGCAAACATTTCCGAGGGCCCGTGACCAGAGTCCTGCTGGACCCCTGGAAAGGAGCCCCTTACCCTTTCATTTTCTTTCCCAACAACATGTGATGCTCCTCTGGGGTCCCTCAGTAGCAGTATCAAGGAGAGTTAGCACAGGGAGGAGGGCCATCCACAGCTCCCAGGTTTATGAGGCAGAAACAAGCTAAGATATCAAGTACCTGGCGCATGGCCCCTTGTAAAGGAGTCAATCCCATCTACCTTGACAAACGGGGAAACGGAAGTCCTGTGGGTACAGCCCTCATTTCAGCCAGTATAAGGAAACAGTATAAGGAAACAGCAGAGCCGGGACCATACACAGCAGAACACCAAGCCCCATGCTGCTTCTGTCTCTAGTGGATCCAAGTCCCCATGAACTTCCTAGGGCAAGCAGGACTAATCCAAAAGGCATCTCTGACTTTCTTAGCCTTTTCCCAGGTACACATCAACGAGAAGTGGGTGAGGAGTTAAGAAAGACCCACATCAACATGAAGTGCCAGCACAGCAACACAGGGGCTGAAGGACGACAAGGGATGGTCACAGAGATGCTCGGAGTCGTGGGACATCCCAAATGCCACAGAAGCATGAGTGCCTGTCACGCCTAGTCTGTCCACCCACAAACCAATCCAAGTTAATCTTCATCGACTGGGACATGAAACCCTGATCTGCTATAGATCGTGATATTCAGAAGCAGAGAGACTAAGGCACCTCTCTGGTCGAGAGGAGGGACGACAGCATCCTCAAATAGGAAAGAGATTTAAACCTGGACCAAACAGGCAAAGCCCCTTGCCCATCAATGCCAAATCAAAGGGAGGCTATTCCTCATACCTCAGCTCTCCCAGGGTCCCTTTCACCCCACCAGAGGCTGGTACATCCCAACAGCTCTAAGAGCAGCTCCAGTGGGCTCTGGTGACAGACATTGTGGTTACTGCTCTCTGTCTTCTTAGGTCGCTCCTAAGAATTCAACCAGGTACATTTTAAGGATTTCATTTCCCTCTGAGGTTGAGGCAAAGTTTGTCTCCGTCATACTGTAGGCCCCCCCAAAGGGCTTCAACAGGAAGTTGATCAGGGATACTAGGAGCACTGTGTACCTAACTCTCGTGCCCCCTCATCCCTCACTGAAGCCTAAGACCCCCTACAGAGGCAGCTGAAAGAACTGGGCCTTACCTGCCAGGGAGATGTTCATGGGGTCCGGCCTGGGCTTGTGTCCTGAGATCAGAGCTACTGGAAGCAGTGTTCAGGAAAGATGCCAGGCTCAGACAAGCCTGTCCTGGGACTTCCCTGTAGCATACAGCCCCCCCTGCCTGCACTGAACAACAACAACAACAAAAAGACCTAACACCTCAGTCTTCAGGCAAAACGTGAGAGTTTTGTCTTAGGCCAAGGGTCCAGGAACAGAGCTAATTTTAAAGGCAGCAGTTGGAGGGCAGCAAGGCTGAAACTTACAGAGCAGAATGGCAAGTGTGTGAGAGAGGGCAAAGCAGAAAACGGGCCAAGCAGGTCCTGGGGGAGAAGCCCCAGCCCTCTCCAGCCAGCGCTGCCCAGGAACAAAGCCACCCCTGGACTCCCCAGAGGCTCACTGGCCCAGGGGCTCTGGGATTCCCCGGCTAAGAACTCTCAGTGTGAGGTGGAGCCAGGAGTGGGCGGGGTCGCGAACACGGGCCGAGGCGGGGCTAGAAGGGGTGGGCTCAGACTTTCCCCTCTGGGAGCCCAGGGGGCGGAGCCTGGGCTGGTGGCGATCCCTAACCCAAGAGCTGAGGTTTAGGAGACTACAAGGGGGCCACGCTGGGGAGGGGAAGGAGGCAGCGGCTGCGCAGATGAGGGTCTTGAGGTTCCTGAGTCAGAGAGGCCTTGAAAAGCCCAGTAGAGCGTGGATAACTGTCCAGTTAAGGACTTCACTGGGTATTTTGGTCCCTTTACAGAGAGCTCTGAAATAACCCACCGAGTTTAGAGGCAGCTGCTTGGGACCAGTTTGGAAAGTTTGGAGAACAAGGAGACGGTCGGGGAGGGAGTGTGTGTACAGGGCACCCTTTGTCTATGATTCTGTTGTCCATCTCTGATGAGGACTGTGGAGACTCAAAAAGAGCCTTGGTCACTCAGCAGCCTAGTATCCCCCATCAAGGTAGGGAAGGAGCGCAGCTAGAGCTGATAATGTCACCAAGGCAAGAACACGAGCAGGTGTTGCTGGCCCAGATGCCCTTCGACTTTTTCTTTCTGAGCACTGTTCCTAAAAATGGGTCAGGCAGGGTATTTTGAAATGGGCACGATGAGACCATTGCTTAATTGGCCCGGCCTCTCCCACCTCAGCCCCACCCTCATCCCTACACGCCGTGTCCTATGCTGCAGAGTGCCTCTATTTGGCTGCCTGGGTAGTAACATTTATAAACAGACACTCTGGGCTCCTCTGTCACCAAGGGACTCAGGACAGCTGAACCTCCTCCCCTACTCCCCACCGCCACCACTCCCCGCGCCCCCCCCTGCCCCCGTGCGCTCCCTTTTCCAGCTTTATGTTCGGGCTACCCCTGTGGCAGTGTTAGGTGCTGGGTAAGGGGACCAGAGCCTGCGAAAGTCTTAATGACAGTCATTCAACAATGTGCATCCAGGTGCTGGAAATATGGTAATTACTAGACAAACTGAAGTGACTCTGTAGGCTTACTTGTCACCTGTGGGGGATGGTAATTACACAAGCCACAGCATCTCCATCCAGGTAGTAGAAAGGGAGAATGATACTTGGGCTTCCTGCTTCAGATCTGGTAGACACATAAATGAGACAAGGATAGAAAAACTGGAAGAGTATGCTGGACTGGAACAGCCAGAACAAGAGTCCCCTGGAAATGGACCTGGCAGGTTTGCGAGGCAGCCATAATGGGGTTCCCAGAATGACCTTTCCTGTCTGATGTCTCTTGTGATAAAACTGATGCTTGGTTGTAAGGAGAGAATCTGCCCCCATCCTGAACCCCTGCACCACGGCTTTCCTGTAGCTCAACACACACACACACACACACACACACACACACACACACACATACGCACACACACGTCAGTTCCAATTATGTTTCTGGCCAGAGTTTCTGAGATCAGTTAGTGTACAGGACTCAAGGCCTCTCAGCCTAGTCTCTTCTTCAGGTAGCTCCTCCCTCCCTTGTTTTGTGAGTCTTATTTTTGTTTTATTTAACACATGCTGGCTGTACATTTTTGAGGGATGAGGTATGAAGTTTCTACTCCCCTTGTACACTCTGCTATTCCTCCCGAGGAACTAGACAAACATCCCCACCAGTGGGAGAAACCTGCAAACCTTTGTAGATGTCAGGATTTCAGCACCTCTCTTCACAAGGGGTAGCCGAGCTCCAAGAGAGAGGCAGGACTGCCATTTGCCCCAGCCCTGCCACCATGGCCTGAGCCCAGCTGACTGTGTGAGAACGGCCTGGGGCTCTGTCAGGAACTGCTCTGCTGCAATGCACAGGAACTCAGAAGCAATTGCCCTGACTTCTCGCTGTTGTGATGAGAGACCATCAGGCCAGAGACATAAGCAGGCATTCTGGAAAGGTACTTCCAGAAGCTCCCCATCTCACCTCCTTCCCCTTTTGGATCTCGTCTCTGCCAGGATGACAAGCCATACAAACATCTGAGATGTACTAAACAGGAACAGAAAATCTGTATACAAGCCACCGGACCCGCAGATATGAGGATATGCGTTTAACAGAGAGGAAGAATGTCTCCTCTGGGATATGCTCTTGTTGTTTGTCCTGTTTTTCGATCACTGTGATAATTAACATGAAAGATAAATAAAACAGACAAAGTTCAGTCATCATGAGTCACAATCTGTGACCCCAGAGTGGGGGTGGGGTGTACCACATCGACCCCCTCCTAAGGTTTTATCGACTACCTAAAGTACAATTCCACCCCAGTTCACTCTGGAGAACCAATGACTTTATTGGGCTTACTTACAGAACACAGATGAAGGAAATACTAACAGAAGGGTGGGTGATGGGTGACCCCAAACCAACCTCACTGGGAATTTTTAACCCAGTGTAGGTGATGGTTTTACTGTAACTGCATAGATAGAGCCCCATCCCCACCCCCCCCCCCCTAGTCTTCCCCAACCATTTTCTTGTTTCTCCCCTAGATCCAGAGACCCTGGGCAATTAATTGCATACAATGGCTGGGATATCAGGTGAGGGTACAGTAACCCTCCACCTCCTCTGAGGGACTATCAGTAGACCACAGGTCAGTCATTAGGGACACTCAGTAGGCACAGCTCATCTCATGCAGATGGCAGTAATTTAAACTGGAGGATAGCAACTTAAAACTTTCTGAAATGTCTTGTGCTTTATATTTGAATAAATGCCTGTGTGTATATAGTCTTCTGGATCAAGGCCTCTAAAGGATGTAGTGAGGCACTGGTCAGACCATGTATCCTTCAGTAGTCTCCAGAAGAAGCCCTATCAGGTTCAGGCTATTGGCAGCCCTTGTCCAGCCCCTCACCATGGGTCCTTGCTTTCTTTCTATCTGTCAATGCAGAGTTGCCCATAACAGACTTTTTTTTTTTTTTTAGGGTCAGCTGCCAGTATTCCTAACTCCTTTTTCAATCTGACCTGAAACAAAATCTCCCTGTGGGAGGGAAGGGGTGTGAATGCTTCACTGAGACCCTCAAATGACATGCCTGTACATGGATATTGAATACATTCATGAATGGCTGGATCGGGTGTTTCTTTGGCAATCATCGGTACACTGCGTTTTCAACTGGCTCCTTCTCCATGGGTTTGGATTTTGTCTCTCTCGACTGTATTATATAACTTCATGGGGCAGGACAAAGTGTACATTTCCCAGGACATCTAGAAAAATTGCTAAATGCACTAAGAGCAGTGTAATTAAAGAGAGATGTAATTTATTTTTCTCAACTTATTAAGTGCTCAGTTTTTAAACTCCTCTGAGATCATCTAAAAACATCCTTCAAATCCATTTTACAAGGATGAAAGCTGGAGTAGGATTCCTTAATGTGTTCATTTGTTTTAAATTAGTATATGTCTTATAATTTCTATTTGGTGGAATTGGCTTCAGTTTTGTGACATTTATCTTTTTCAGAGAAAACTAATCATAATGTTAATAGTCTTACTTTTTCCTTTTAAATTATAGTTGTTTTTAATTTTTAATGCATTCACATTCTACCAGTGCATAAAGTGAGTTCTATAGTGTTTCATGAACTCTCAGAAGTAGAGTAGAATGTGAAATTTAGACTTCGTCCTGATACCCTAGAACACCCTGATGGACCCTAGAAACCTAGAAAACAGTAATAATATCGACATTCATGGCCACTGGTAAAGTGCCTGTGGTCAGAGACAACTCCAGATGTCCCGGGGGCATCTTATTTCTGATGCGAATCACACCTGGTAAGAGGATGATGTCATCTTCAATTCAGGAACATGGTGAAGGATGTTGAGGGTTGGCAAGGAACTAGCTAGAAGGGACAGAACCTGCCCAAGTCTATGTTTTCCAGAGATTTGCACTTTTCTATGCTGATCTGAGACATGACTTCAAGTCTGCTGCTGTTCAGGGAAAGTAAGCTGTGGGTGTCTGTTCAGAAACCAAATTCTCCTTTCAAAGTAACTCAAGGGATGGTACAGCCAGTCACTGTACAGGGCCTCCAGGCCCAATGCTTTCCTGATGTGTTTCTAAATCTCTCTCTCTCCTTCTCCATCCCTCCCTATTCTCTTCCCTCTGTTTCTGTCTCTGTCTGTCTGTCTGTCTGTCTGTCTTTGTGTGTTTGCCCGTGTCCAAGTGTGCATGTGCCATAGCATGAGACTAGCAGTCAGAAGACAGCTTCGGGTGTTGCTCCTTGCCTTCTACTTTGTTTGAAGCAAGCTTCTTATTATCCAGCACTGCGTGTGCTGGGCTAACAGGCCCATGACCTTCCAAGGATGTGTCTGTCTCCACTTCCTAGCCTGTTAAAGGATAGTGGGATTAGAGATGTGCTCTCCTACATCTCTTTTTATGTGTGCTCTGGGGATCTAAACTCAGATCCTCATGCTTGTGTGGCAAGCACTTTAATCACTGAGCCAATTCCCCAGCCTAGTTTCCTTATTTTAGAACTCCTATTGGTTCCATCAATGTCAATAACTGCTTTCTTTTTTTTAAAAAAAAAAAAGTATTTATTTATAATGTATACAATATTCTGCCTGTGTGTATGCCCACAGGCCAGAAGAGGGCGCCAGACCCTCATTGCAGATGGCTGTGAGCCACCATGTGGTTGCTGGGAATTGAACTCAGGACCCTTGGAAGAGCAGGCAATGCTCTTAACCTCTGAGCCATCTCTCCAGCCCCAATAACTGCTTTCTTTATCATGATCCCTCCTTGGTTCTCATGGGCATGCCGGGATGACTAAATCCTTGGTTCTGTCCCAGCCTCATCTTAGTCGGCAGCACCTTAACATACAGACTTCCACTTTATAGAAAAAGAAAGTGAATTTCCTAGGTTTGTTTAACTCATCTTGGAACCAGGAAAAGGCTGAGCTCCACAATTTTGCAATCAGTCAAATAGCACATAGTGATTGCAGCAGCATCAATAACAATGATAGCTACGTTTCTGTTGATGCATTGTT